GAGATCTAATCGAAGCTAATACGATTTGCTAACTACATTCTACCTGTGTGTGAGTCCTTGGACAGCAGGGAAGGAAATAGTGGGTAGAGTGTCTGCATTTTCCACAAACCCAGTTTGTTCCTGTGTTCTGCTGGAAACGTATTTCAGTGACCTAGAAATGAAAGTGCTCTTTCTTCCAGGCTAGCCTGAGGCTAGCGGCTCTAAAGCCATCTTGCTGTTCCTTAGTAAAGGACAGCAGTAACAGAGCCAAGGCTTCCAGGGCTATTTCAGGCAAAACCATTGTTTTTCTTGTGCATTCATTGTAGGGAGGAGGTAAAGGGGTGGAGTTCTATAATCGTTGAGTGATTTAGATTTTGCTGCAGTGTTGAGTTATTTTGTAATGAACAAGAATCAGCATATATGTATTTTCTAATGTCAGGCGTGAGGGAGAAGAAAGGAAGAAGGGGGGCAGAATGTGTGTCTGAGGATGGGGCCGGACCACACCCTCCAGTTTCGAGTGACCCCACACCCTTTGCTCTCCTCCATCTGCTGCCCATTCTTCCTCCTTCCTTGTGGGCCTGCTTGTTACGCTTGACGACAGGATTGACAATAGGTTTCGGGTCCTACTGGAATACCAATTATGCTTTTTAGTCTAAGATTTAGTCTTTTATTTTTGTTATTGTTCGTTATTTCAGGGGGAAAAAAAACCCTTCTTTCTTTTATTAAAAAATGACTCAGCACTGCAGTCCAACCAGATATTTTTTCTAATTTTTGTAGAGAAAAAAACTTTTAACCCTTTGTCTCCCTTGAAAATCCACCCCAGAATTAAAAATGTTTTTGTCCTTGGCTGAATATGCATTTTTAGATTCAAATTTAGATGGCGTCTGTGTTTGTATTTTTCATGACTTCATAAATGGAAATAAATTAAAATTAGGAGTAATGTTAAATTTTCACTTTAAAATTTTCCTATGATAAAAACATCCTCCCCTGTGGCCTTGCCCTCAAACAAAAAAAAATTTTTTTAAATCCTACCCAAAATAGAGATGAACAGTTCGATGTTTAACTCTAATGAGGTAAAATATGAAAGAAATTTGTTTAAAAATCTCTTAAAACTTTCATAATAAGAAGTTTTATTTCAAGAGCTGGATGGCAGAAGTAGGAGAGAGGAGAAAGTGTCCTGTGTGTAGGTTCTCATTAACTGTGAGATGAGGTTTGGGCCTCATCTCTAAAAGGGTATTGGATTAGGCGCCTTAGGGGCTCTTCCAACTCAATTTATTTGTGATTTTATGAAGTTGCTTCTTTAAACAGTGTCCGAACAATGACTGTGCCTCAGGTTTCTAGTGATCTTTAGGTCTGCTGACTCCCGGCTATTCCCTCAAAGTCGGCCTTAATCTGGATTCTAATTTGGGTTGACATTCTCCAGTGATGTAAAAGCCACCTCATGGTAGGCGGCCTCCTTTGTGGCCCTCCTCTGTCAAAGGTTGACAGCTCAGCAGCCTTCCTGTTCCAGAGTGCGGGGGATGTCTTTGCCTGGGACTGAGTTGAGGCTGCTAATTGTTCCATCTCCAGGATCTCATTTAAGCCCAAACTGCCATCCTGAGGTGTACTATTCAGTCATCTGTCAGAGCCATCCAGAACGGTTCTGCAGCTTGGGAGTGAAATTGAAAATGGGAGACAAGTAGGTTATTCTCTTCCGCAGTATTGCCTTCGATGACATTATTAGCCGTTACTAGAATAAAAACAAAGACAAAAAAAAATCCAAAAACCCGACATCATACCTTCCATTCAAAAAAGTAGCAGGTATTTCATTTACTTCTCTCACAGCAAGGACTGCCCTATGCCAACTTGGGTTTGAAATCTCAAGTGGATCACTTGTATTCTATCTGCTCCCTGGCCTCGGGCCTGGGCCAAGGGCTAGATGTGCTGGGCTCCCAGCCCGCTGTGGAAAGAACTAGGTGTTGACGTGTCCTTGTAACAAATTATTCATTCCAAGAGGATTCCCTGTTTCTTAAGGAGTTAAAGATCAAATGTAGTGTTTCTCAAACTGTGTATCGACAGAGATGCCTCAGGGGCCCCCAAAGAGGAAGAGAAAGATGTGGTGGGCAGAGCGGGTCAGACTTTGCTGGTCAAACCCCTGCTTGAATCAGAAGGATTCCATTTAAGATTTATCTTCCTTTTCGGTAGGGGTGGGGGGCCCAGGCTCTGTTGCAAATGAAGTCAGAAGACAAGGAAGGGAGAGTAGGAAGGAAAAAGAGAGAGGGACAGGAGGGATCACCGGTCCTTTGGGCTCAGTGCAGTCATAGAACCACGGACATGTTCGTTGGTAGCACGGAGGGGAAAAGGGATTGGCAGTGAGGTTTCAGAGGAGGTGATACTTGAGTTGAATCTAAGAGGACTGAGTAACTTTACTGCAGATTCAGGAGGAGAAGGGTATCTTGGGCCAAGAAAACACATTACCAGAGAGGCAAGAAACAATATTGTACAGTGAGAGAACACAAACAGTTTCATCTCAAGGACCCCAGAATGAGAGCAGATGGGAGCCCCCCAAGGTGGTATGGCAGGGAGAGGCCTGGGTCACAGGCGGCCATACAAGCACCTGTGTCTGGCTGTATGAAGCCTGTAGCAGAACTGCAGGGTGAATCGGCTAGAGGACACCCACCAGTTGCTCTGTATTTGTCTTCAGTTTCCCTACCCTCCTTCAGTGCTTTAGTAGAGAAACCACCACTGTTTGAGGTATGATTGCTGGCCCTTACGTTGAAGACTTGAGGCAGCTGTCCACTGAACAGCGCGACTTTGGACTGTATAGGTCCGCATAGAGCAGATTTTTTACAGGACATACTGTAAATGTATTTTTGCTTCCTTATGATCTTCTTAATAACATTTTATTCTCTCTAGCTTACCTTATTGTAAGAATACAGTATATAACACACACAACGTACAAGGTATAGGTTAATCAACTGTTTGATGTTAGCAATAAGGCTTTCCGTCAATAGTAGACTAGTAGGAGTTAAGTTTTTTGAGGAATCAAAGTTGTACATGGATTTTTGGTGGCGGGGGGGGCGGTCAGACCCCCTAACCCTGACATTGTTCAAGAGTCAACTGTATTCCCACAGAAAAGCTGCTGATTCCTTTGCCAAGGTTATCATTGCCGCATCCTAGACTCTTACTGGGACCCTGACAACTCCGGAGGTCATTCATTGCTTATCAACAGAGGGCACTGTTGCTACTTCTCCCTGGTGTGAGAGTAGCTCTGCAGGAAGTCGGTATTCCTGGCCTCTGGAAACTGCATTGCTAAGTGTTCCTTGGGGTGGAAAGGGGTGGTGGTAACAATGATACTTTCTGCCTCCCCCAACCACGGACCCCTGTTCCCCCATATTCTGCAGACAAGGGAAACTAGGGCCCAGATGAGTTACATCAATTGTCCCCAATGAATCTGTTGGGCATGAGCAGAACCTGGACAAGAACCAGGCCTCTGGAATTCCAGTCCACGGCTCTGTGCGGTAGTACTCCAGGCCCTTCCCTTACTGTCTTGAAAGTTGAAAGAGGTAGGAGGGGCTGTGCCCTTGATCCTATTGGGTTATGGAGTTGATACCTCCTTCTTTTAGCTCTTTCCTGACCAAGGAGGAGGGGGAGCAGAATAGGAGGTCGAAAGGTGAAGGGAAGCACTACCAGAATCAGAGTCAATAGGTGTAAAAAGCTGAGATACATGAGAAGAAAAAGGACAGACAGCACCAAACCTATCCCCTCTTCCCAGCTACAAGCGTCCATGCCTCCATCACCATAACCATACCACTCCGGCTGTGGGGTGAGCGCCCACCATTCCAGACACTGAAATACAATGACGAGATATGGCCCTGGACTTCATGAAACATAAGCTAGGAAGAAAGACAACATTTAACATTAATCACAAGACAGGGTTATAACTAATCGTAGGCCACATCTGCGGACACCTCCCCTGTGCCAGGCACCGCCAAGCACTGTAGCTACATTATCACATTCAGTCCCCACTGCAATACCAGGAGTCAAGTACCACTGTCTCCATTTTTCAGATGAGGAAACTGAAGCCTGGAAGGTGAGGGAAGGTCAGGGGACTGGTCTAAGGTCATGCAGCTGGCATTTGAATCCACCTGATCTTGGAGGTATAATATTACTACCTGGTATCAGTCCTAGCGGAAATGTACTTTAGAAGCCAAATATAAAATGCATTTAGAAGTAACGCACATTGACTGTCCTCTCTACCATCTGAGAGTTGCATGTAGACTTCAAGTTTCTCAAGAAGCAAGGGTTTCTCAACCAAAAATTCAAGAGAAAGCTTCTGTTCTGGCGTTGTCCTCTCACCACACCCAATGCTCTTCTGATTCGGTGTGGTTGACACTCTGTGGTGATCCCGAAGACCAAGAGGCCTGCCTTGGGCCAGCAGAGGCTCACCCTCAATGCTGCCTCTTTGATCACAAATTTGGACTTATTACTATCTGTTTTATTTTAGGCTCACTTTTAAGATAAGGATACATCTGTGATCTCAAGCAAGAGCAGAATCCTATCCAGTTGAGACTGTTAAAATCCAAGATATTTTCATAATCAAGGAAACTAAAGTTTCTTCACATACTGAGTATTTCCTGACAAAGGAGATACTTATGTCCCCACCACCCAGGCCTACCTCCCCTTCTTCGCACGCAAGCCCTTACCTACCACCTCGGAGAGAAGATAGAACCAAATTATTCAACATTACCTTTTTTGGTTAACTTAACAATCACCATGAAAACAAACCCAAAAACAAAGTGATGGAGATGTTTTACAAAGTAAACACTGAATGTAAATTGATCCTTAAAGCTTTTAAGATGTGTGTGTGTGTGTGTGTGTGTGTGTGTGTGCCTACATGCGTGTGTGTGTGTGTATGTGTCCGTTTTCCCCAACTGCATTTTATAACCGTGATCTAGGTAATTGTTTGCTATGGGTGGAACTGAATGTGGATGTTGCTTATCAGAACTAAAGCCTTTTATTATTATTTTTTTCCTTTACAGGGTCGTCATGTTAAAACGGGCCAGCTTGCAGCCATTAAAGTTATGGACGTCACAGGGGTAACGTATCTTTATCTTGCCATCTCAATGACTATATATTTGTGATAGAGAAATTAGTGATAAAAAATCATTTTTCAGAGATAGAATCTTCTTAAACATCTAAGGTCTTTCCCCACTGAGCTTAACATAAAGCAGTTAAGAGTATTGAACAGCTGACTGAGAAGACCACAGATAAATCACCCTAATTAAATTAGATACCCACCCACTGCCTTATGTAGTTAGAGTGGATAATGTGTGTTGAAAATTTACATAAACACAACCATGGATATTTGCATATGAAGACAGAACACGGATTTGAAGGTATTAAAAGAATAATACTGAGATTACACAGAAGAGATGGGTCTTAGCAATTTTCCCAAAGGTCCACCTAACACTGGAGTAGAAAATGTTTGGGTAGCTACTGCAGCTTGATTAGGAAATTTCACATGAATATTTTCCTCCTCCGAAATATCGACCAGATAATCCTTACAACCAAAAATTCTTATTATTATGGAGCAACACTGAAATAAAATTTCTGCCTGGGTGATCAAAAGCAATCGAAGGAATAGACTTTATTGTAAATATAATCTCATGCTTTCAGTCCTTTTTGCTAGGTTTATTTAAAATATTTTAATGCCTTTTCGAGAGTATAAAGCAAAAATCAGACTTGAAAGGACTCACTGGACATCAAAAGCATGTTAATAATTTTCTATTGTTCTGGGGATTTTTCTAAGATGTCTGCCTGCCCTACATAAAAGCTAAAAGACCAAAGTCTTCCATTCAGCCCGGAAGTGGTTTATTCAATGTAAATAGACATAGAATGAATGAATCACACCACAATATCAAGAACCAACATCCAAATTTAAAAAGGCAAGCAGTATATCTGCCTGTCAGATTTCAGTCCGTGTCTCTTCTGGCCCAGTCTGTAACCTTTGTTAAGTATATATATCATATAGTGCATGTCTCCCAGAATACTAATTTCACTAATGTTCATTTATACCACACATTGTACTGACTTCCTTTCCTTACTTATTACTGATCTGAATTTGTCTTTAAATTGTATGTCTTCTTCACCAGCAGAAAATTATCCCCATGTTTATTGGCATTAGATAAAGTACTACTTCCTTTTATTTGTCCTTTTATTTGAATTATGTATTTGATAAATCAATACAATAAATACATTTTTGATATATAAATACAATAAATACAAATAAATTCGTTATTCAAAGGTTGCAAATCAGTTCAAATATTTGATCCCTGTTAGTTTATTGATTCACTTGGCCTTTACTGAATACAAAACTGCAGGTATTTTATATTAATTACGTTAATTACTCAAAATAAGAAAGGCCAAAGCATCTCCCTCTCTGGTGTTAAAAGAGTGCAGAATCTACAGCCCGGGTTTATGGCAACAATGTGGCCCTGCGGCTTCTGCACTCCAGGTTCAAGCTGGTTGTCAATTTCCATTGATCCCATTCTTTGGCAGCAAGACAGGGAGAGTGACTGGGTGGAAGCAGAAGGGTACAGAAAAGAGCTCCTTCCACTAGAATCTTTCCTACTTGTATACGTTTCTATTTAACTTCTGCTTTCCTTGGCTATACCTAGCTGCAAGGGAAACTGGGAAATGCAGTCTTTTATTTTCCCAATTGGTACAGTGAGGTGCAATTAAAAATATGGTTTCACTCATACGTGGAACATAAGGAAAAGCACGGAGGACATTAGGAAAAGCAAGGAAAAACTGAAGAGGGGGAATCAGAGGGGGGAGACGAACCGTGAGAGACTGTGGACTCCGGGAAATAATCTGAGGGTTTCAGAGGGGAGGGGGCTGTGGGGATGAGGTAGCCTGGTGATGGGTATTAAGGAAGGCACGGGTTATAATGAGCACTGGGTGTTACACACAAACAATGAATCATGGAACTCTACATCAAAAACTAATGATGTGCTATATGGTGACTAACATAACATGATAAAAAAATCTCATTCTGTTAGTTTTGGAAGGAGAATGGGTATTGGTGTGATCAGTTAGCAGATCTAACACAAAAGTCAAGATCAGGTACTATCAGTCTCTACAGAGAAATCCATTATAAATACGTAAGCCTTTTACAAAGTTTTTATACACAAAACAAGTCAGAATTTATTGTGCAGTTCTGCTGAAATCATGATATTCTATTTTCCTTGGATTGAATAGGCTCTCCACATAATGCAGTGCACTTGGCAATTTAACAGTTACTGGGTATAGACATTGCAAGACATTCATGCTGGAAAGTTCTGTTGTGTGGTTCCGTGGAACTACAGTGATTTCTACCATTAATCTCAGTGCTCAACGTTGTATGTTGATGCATAAAGTAGGACTTGAGAGCACTGACTATTACTGACAATTGTTTCTGGTTCTATTTTTGAGACTTTAAGTTGCTTGAAGAACCACTTAGTCTTGCTAGGCCACCTTGCTTTGAAATCAACAGAGCTATTTATCCCAGAATATGTATTTTCAGTTGAAGGAGTATCAGTTAGCCTTTCTAAACTAGGTTCACAAGATAGCAAAGCCCTGCAGAAAATGAATATGAGAGACTCTTTTCTCAGCCCCCCAGAGGATGGTACAGAGCTAAGGCTGTTGTCAGGACATAGGAAAGTCAGTCCATTGTGTACAGGGGATGCTTTATAGGACTTGGACTTAATTTTCTTAGGGAACCCTTGTTGAAAAGGCTGGGTAGTTTCCCTGATTCATACACATCACTGACTGTTTTATAAGCACTGACCCTTAACAAAGATAAATATAAGCCTCACATCAGGAGATAGTTTTCTCAATTCCCATGATGTCTGATACAGCATCAAATGACTCTAGTATCACCCCTGTACACGTTACAGTCAGCATAAGATTTCCTTTGTGAAATTTGTGTGGTAGCCTTGGAAAACAATCTATTTCATTTTGCCATGTTGTCTTTTGTGTATTATGGAATGCTGTAAAAGCTTCTTACCAATTATTATAATTGTGCTCATTATAGCTGCTCTGCTAAAAACCGAGATGAATTCTCAGAGGTCGTCTTTGTTAATTGTTTGCAGTGATCTACTGCAGTTACTATAGTTGATTGTAATGAAATTGATAAAACCATAAGCATGAAATCAATTTTTAGATTATTGTTTTTACTCTACACCACTTGCTCTTTTTTTTTCCCCCCTCTCTCTTTTCTCCTAATAGAAACTAGCCACAGAAAGAACTGGATATAATGCTTCTGCTCTTCTGGTTTTAGAGCTGAGACACTTCCAAATTTGCCAATATTTGCTTCAGAATTAGTACTCCAACTCAGACTCAGTCTTTGAAGTTGTTTTAGTTCCTGAAATAATTATGAGAATTTCTTCATTTCGCAGCTTTCTGGGGATTCCTTCCCAGCTGGGTTTGTGTACTCCAGATTTGCCTACAATATCTAAACAAAACTGGGCCCTCTCGGGTAGTGTTTCTCAAAGTGGACTACCAATGTCCGTGAACGGTCAGCCCTCCGGTGGTATTTATGAGAAATGCAGATTTCTAGACCTGCTGTATAATTTCTGGGTGGGGTCTCTGAATCCGCCTTTTTTACAAGCCCCTCAAGGAACTCCAGATTCCTGAAAGTCAGAGGGGCACTTTTCTAGGCTTTTTTATTCACTGCTTCCTGGCCAACATATGTGAAGGGACTGTGGTTCTTTGATAACCCTGTAAATAATCCTCATTTTCATTTGGGTAAAATTCCTGGTGTAAACTAGTCCCTTTGCAATGATACCTTGAAGCCCACATAGGACTTAAGGAGATCCTAACTTAGTATCATAGGTTCTCACCTTTATAGAAATTGGTTCTAATCTTATTACTCAGCACAGCTTGGGTTTTAGTACCCAAAGCCCACTCAAACCAAATGAAGCTGAGGATGGAATTTACTAGAAGTCAGATGATGTGATTAGGAACGTTCTTTCTCTCCATCGCTTGGCTCTGCTTTCTTCCCACCAACAGTCCAGGTCCATATTCTGATGGCTTCATTATTGTTAGTCCCAGCCAAGTGCCAGTCCGAATATCAGCTTGGGTCACATCCCCAGTCCTGAACCAACCCTTGTTTTCCTTCCTCCGTATCTGGACTGGGTCCCTGGCGCTGGAACCTAGAAAGACTAAGGGTTGGAAAGGATGATTCCTCAAAGGAAAGCAAGAGAGATATTTGAGAAGAGGGTGGGAAGGTGGCTGAGTAGGCAAAACGAGGAGAATTACACCACCGTGATAGCAAATATCACTGTAGTGAATGTGCTTAAAACCGATGTGGTCCTTAAGTAGAGAACCTCTCCGGGGCCTTTGTAATGTTTCAGCCAAAAGTAGTAATAATGGTAACTAACATTGGTGGAGTGATTATTGTGAGCCAGAACTCTTTTAAATCCTCCCTATATATTGATTATTTAACCCTTTTGGGAACCTACTAAACAGCTTCCATTAACAGCACCATTACAGACATGAGAAGACCAGGCATATTAAGTATCCTGCTCAGTGTAACATGTACGTGGGGGGTGACTATTTCAGCCTGAGCATTTTATTTTATTTTATTTTTTAAAGATTTTATTTATTTATTTGACGGACAGCAATCACAAGTAGGCAGAGAGGCAGGCAGAGAGAGAGGGAAGCAGACTCCCTGCTGAGCAGAGAGCCCACTCGGGGCTCGATCCCAAGACCCTGAGATCATGACCTGAGCCGAAAGCAGAGACTTAACCCACTGAGCCACCCACGCACCCCACAGCCTAGGCATTTTAACTCTATCCTTAAAGTCCATCCTCTCCACCACATTACTGTAGGTCTCCAGTTAAGATAGAAGGGCACTTAGTGTTTAATTTAGTGTGAATTTTTCCATTAGTTTATTCAATAAGCGTTTACTAAACGTTTGCCTACTAGGAGGATCCATTTTAAACCCTGCTTGACTGAGTTTCTATTTCTGTCTTGCCTGCTCAATTCCTGTAACTGAAGCTGATGACCAGGCTTCAGCTCTCTTTGAGGAGTAAGGAAGTGGTCTCCCAGGAGC